ATTTGATTATATCCTGAATAACCATCGAGCATACTCAGGTATTCATAGCCAGCGGCAGAATCGACTAGCATTTCCGCCACAGGCATAGGATATTCATCTTTGGGTGTAGCAGCATTCAAATCTCTGAAATCTATGCATACCCTTAACGTACCATTTTTCTTAATTACTGGCACAATGTTTGCAATCCATTCGACATACCTTGTAACACGGATGAATTTGCATTTCAGAAGTCTTTCGACCTCCGTTTTGATCTTCGACAGTATTTCTGGAGCGAAGCGCCTTGGATTTTGCTTGATTGGCTTCTTCCCAGGTTTGATTGGCAACTGAAGTTCTACCAATCCTCTGTCGAGACCAGGCATTTCGTCATAATCCCATGCAAAACAGTCTTTAAACTCTTTCAGCAATTGGATTACTTCCAACCTAAGTTCTGGATCGATTTTGGCGCTGATGTAAGTTGGCCTTTTCTCTGATCCTTCGCCTAAGTTGATTTCTTCTAAAGGGTCTTGCGCTAACATTTTTATGTTGTTCGCCAAGGGGTCCTTTTCGAAGCCCAAAGGCTCATCGTCATAGATGGCGTCGAGCCTCTGTTCCTACATTTCTTCTGGCATGATATCAGGAGGTTTTGGATCGAAATCCTTTCCTGGGCCTACAGCAGATAATCGTTGATCATTGGCCTGTGTGGCCATGTACTTTACTTCGGCTTCGAGAGCCGTTATCATCTTGGTTTCGGCTACATAAGCCGAAATTCGCTTCAAAGATTGTGACTCAGTCATTATCACTGAATTCGCTTCCCCAACCAGTTGGTTGGATATCAGTTAACCCACTGAAGTCTATGTGGGACAAGTCTTCTCTGTCCCATTGGAAACCATGCTCAGGATGCAGGTATAGGGAACAAAAAGTGTTTGGCGCTAGCGCCATGTCGAAGTCAGGTGTTGGACATGGCCCTATGTGAGCCAAGTTCTTGTCGAAATCTGCCAAACCCAGGTGATTCACTTCGCCAAGGTAATAGCTTTGATCTGCCTCTATGTTTTTGACCATCCCATCTGGACGCCATAGCAGCAGCCTTTGGTGCATTGATGAAGGCACAGCGCCAACACCATGAATCCATTCACGGCCCAACAAAAGATTGTAGTTAGGTTTGGCCGATATGACCATAAACATCGTTGGTCGAAGGATCGACCCTACTTTGATATCCAGCTGGATCACTCCCATAGTGGTCCCTATGCCGCCCTCATAGTTCGACAGGACCATGTTGTGAGGCTTAATGTCCTCATCCCTTTTGCCAATTTTCCTTAGCATAGAGTGAGGAATAATGTTGATGGTTGCCCCACAATCCACCAATATTTTATTCACAGTAGTTTCTTCGAGTTTAGCCCTTATGAATAAAGGCTTGAGGTGATTTTTCATCGCCTCTGTAGGTGGCTCGAAGAAGCCATTTTGTTCCTCAGTAGTGCCATTGTCCATGACAAAATAGCACACTGGCCTATGTTTGGCCATTTCTTGCTCCACTTCCCAGTCACTTGCTTCGACTTCTACCTGTCGATTGAATTCTCTGGGCAGCACTGAAACTATATTCACCATTATGTCCAAAGTATCATCAGACTCAGCATCGTCTTCGTCTTCGACTTCACTTTGGTTAGGCCAAACTAGCCTGTTGGTTACTGGCTCTCTTTCTAGAGATTTCCTTTGCTTCCTTTGAGGAACGTTCGAACTGTTTTCTGCCTTTGGTTCGTTGGCAGCCTCCCTTTCAGCTTTTCGTCTCCTTTGATATCTCCTCCATTGAGATCGAGACATGGGATTTTTACCTTTGTAGTTGCTGGACGCTTGTGCAACCTTAGGTGCAGCAACTTGAGGCTCTTTCTTTTGAGTCAAAGAGGAACCTCTTGGCACATCGAAAGAATGCCATTTCTCCTCACTTGGCCTTTTCCGACCAGAGGTTTTGTACCAAGTATCTACTGGCACATTTGTTGGAGGCCTAAAAGTCAATGGCCTCTTTTCTTGGTTAGAACCTCTTTGGGAGGCTCTTCTGGGATCATGTCGAAGGTCAACATTCTCCCTTCTCTTATTCGCCGCTCTTACGCCTTGAATGTGTTCAGCGGCTTTTTTATCGAAGATCGAACTGCATCTTGGACACAGCATCACCTCTGATTTCTTTTTCTGGCATCTTTGTAGAAAATCTGCCAAGTTTTCATTTTCCCGAGGGAAAGCAGTCTTATTAGCTTGTTCTTGCCTCATGGCCTCTTCTGATGCTTTTGGGTCAGAAAGTTCGACCATGTTGATATTCATTGTATCTTTGTTAGCAAGAGTTAACTGCTTCATTTGTATCTCCAGATTCTCCGTCTGGCCTTGAACGGTGGCCAAGTGGGAACTGGGTTTCGATCCAGTTTTTTGTGCTTCAGCGGTCTCCGACTTCGGGTTTTCGACCGCTTTCTGGACAACTTCAATTGTCTTCCTGGATAGATTTCCAGAAAAACTACCAAAGATTGGCATGTTGATGTGGTCCTTTGAGACTTCGACCATGGTAATTCCTGGCTTCTTCGACTGGATCCTGGTTGCCTCTATCATGTTCACCTCAGAGGGTTCAGCATAGTGGGCTTCAGCCTGCAATGGATTTGAGTCGACAGCCATGGGGGATTTGTCAGCAAACTTCAATCTCCCTTCTTCGATAGCGTCTTGCACAAGATTCCTGAAAAGAAAACATTGAGAAGTTTTATGGCCCAAAAAATTATGATATTTGCAAAAACCTCTCTTCTTTCTTTGATCAAGAGGAGGCACTTTTACCCCTGGGGGTACTATCATTTGGCCATCTTTAACCAGCAAGTCGAATATTTCATCATATTTTGTGATGTCAAAACTATATAAGTCTTTTTTGGGAACCTATCGTTGGTCCTTTCTGGACCAATGGGATTTTTCCCACTTGAGGGGACTAACAGTTTACAAGAGTATGGTGGCCCTTGTTTCAGTTCTGCTAAATCGACTTCTCCTTCTTCGACAGTTAAAGTATCGTCGAAGGATTCTAGATCTTCGTCATCCATCTCAACGTACGCTATCCTCTCTCTCTTGTGAGTTTTCGTTGTCTTAGCTTTTTCAGCTTTGAGGCGTTCTACCTGTCGGACTCTATCGGCCAGTTGGGCCATGTCTCTTAGGTACTGGGTGTCTAGCTTCTTCCTAATGGAATAATCTAAACCGCCTGCGGCTATTTCGACCAACTCATGTTCTGGCACTTGTGTAAAACATCTCGCCTTGAGCAACCTAAACCTATTTAGATATTCGTCTATAGGTTCAGTGAAGCGTCTCTTCACACTGGCCAGTTCTTTCAGGCTTATCTTAGTTTGCCCCATGTAGAATTGTTCATGGAACAATCTTTCCAACTGGGTCCAATGATGGATCGAATTGGGGGGGAGAGTTGTAAACCAAGTAAAAGCATTCTTTGTTAAAGAATTTGGGAAGTACTTGATCCTTAGGTTTTCGTTGTTCGAAATGTCACTCGCTTCGATCAAATATCTCGCCACATGCTCGACAGTAGATTCTGTCGTGTCCCCAGAGAACTTAGTAAATTTGGGGACTTTGCATCTAGGAGGTAAGTCCGTTTGTAACACGTATTCTGACAATGGAGATGTAAAGTTGGGCCTTCGAAAGCCCATGTTCATCCCATTCTGAGTCATGATCCTTTCAATCATGGTTGCCAGATTGTTTTCCAAACCCATGTTTTGGTATTGGATATGCTGAACCACTTCGTCAGCATTTTGGTTTCTGTTAACTAACCTTACCTCTGGGGTTATTACCCTAGGTTCCTCGACAGGTTGTTCCAATCGTGCCCTAAGGTTTTCTTCGACAGGCTGTTGAGCCTGGTTAATGGTGGTTTCTTCCTCTAAAAATATCCCCTGGTTTCCCCTAATTTGCGCCCTTTGGGGCTGTCGAATCGGTTGGGGTACTCCAAAGAAATCAGCCAAGCGCGCCATTTGCGCCGTCATTTGCTGATTCGATTGAGTAGTGTTTTGTATTAGAGGGTTTAGCACTGTACTCAAAGTTTGTGCCAACATTTGCACCATATCATGGTTGCTTTCGTCCATTTGTTGCCTCAAGACTGCTGTCGAGGCATTTGTAAGGCTATGGGCTACTTGGGACGTTCCTCCTAAGAGTTGGGTCCTATTTCTATTCGCCATGCCTACTCCAGAGCCTTGGAGTGGCGAAGAGGCACTCACTAAAGGGTCTGAAAAAGTGGACGCAGCATTCGTCAGGCTTGCCACTTCAGAAGTTGGCATACCATAGAATGGAATAAATCCTGGGGGAACCAAAGGCCTTGTGCCTAAATTTCCCCTTGGTGGGGGAGTTCCCAAAGGCATCCTGGGGCCTGTTAACGAAGGTATTGGCCCCGTGGTTGTGACCGATACTGCTGGTGTCGAACCAACATTTGTCGCTTCACTTACGGTCGTACTAACCGTTGCTCCCACATTCGTTTGTGGGATTTCGTTATTGTTTGGCGGATTCGCCATCTCTTCCCTTCTTCTGGCAGTATTGTTATCGTTAGTGTATATTCTACCACTTCTCAATAACATACAACTCGAAAAGATGAGATTATTTTCAACAATTAACACACAGTCCCACCAGGTGTGCCAATTTGTTTACCTCGGGATTTGGTAAACAACCGCTGATCCTCCAAATGGTTACTTATTTGGTTACTCGCAGGATCGATCAGATTGATCCTAGGACATAGGTTGATTTTGAAGTTTTGATTAGATTGGATAAGGCTTTAAATAAAGAGGTTTCAAGTAAATTGCATGAAGAAAGGACTTGGTAAAATAAACAAGGCTTAAAGTAAAAGGCTTCGACAGGAATGTAAAGAGGAAAGCAAGTAAATTTCTGGAAAAGTAAATGACTTTGATTAATAAAATTGGTGTTTCACACATACATTTCTCAACAATTCTTTCTCACACGCTGGGTACTCGAATCTATATGAGTGACTTTGTATAGAATTGTGAACACCCGCGAGAACTTACATGACTACTACTATTTATACTAAAACATCCCAAGTAACCGTCGGGCAGTTACACTGCTTCGAGATGATTCCACTTGGCACGTTCTCAACGTTCGACGCTCCAGATCTTTGCACGCTACACGTGGTAACTGCTGGAAACCGTTTTCTCTCCAAAAGCTTGAATTTCAAACTGCTCCACTCTGAACCATCGAACACTTTCGTCGAGAGATATCTTCGACGAGAAACTCCTTCGACGTCGAAGGCAACCAACTTCTACCTTGGAAGAAATCTTCTAAGTACTTTGCCATCTTTCGACGGGCATTTCGACAGACTTAGCCAGTCGAAAACATCCTTCAGCTTTAATGGCTGACATCAACAAAACAAAGGTGTCGAATTTAGGAGCCAACACAGGCCAGATGGGAAGATGAATTTGGAACACTGCAGAACTGAGAATCAGATTGCAGACATCATGACGAAGGGAGTGCAAGTCGAAGTATTCAGAAAACTAAGAGTCATGATGAACATAGATAGTTTAGACACAATGAATTAGGTGGTGTGTTAAATTGTAATTCAGTGTGTCGAAACTATGTGTCGAAAAGATTTGATTTGTTTTAGATTTAATTTAATTCTAGAATAGATTAGATTTAATTTAATAACAAAATAAATATTTTGGGCTTTGGGCTTTGGGTGTAAGCTCAGTTATAAATAGAGAGAGTAACCTATTTTTTGTAAGCAAGTCAATCAAACTATTCACAGTATTTTGTAGTTACAAAGTGAATAAGAAAGTTTTTACTGTTTGTGAGCAGAGAGAAACTCTGCAGAAATTATTTATCTTGTCTTTTTTTCTTTGTTTGTCTCATAATTAAATTGTCATTGTGGTAAAAATTCATCATAGATTTTGGTGAGTTTCCAACAATAATCACATTTATTTATAAGAATAATGACTGTTTTCACTAATCAATAATTTTTTTTATATTCAATTAATTATGCAGATTCCAGCATTTATTAAAAGAGAGCGTGAATATAACTTAATGCCTGTGAGTTTTCTTTATTAATTTTTGTTCTTCATTTTTGAGTAAAAATATGAAATCTAATCTTATTCATAACAACTTTACCAATATAACTATGATATTGTTTATTGAAGGTTTTTCCTGAATCACTAGATGGAAAGCCCTATACCAATCCAGCAGTATGTTATGTTAATTCAAATCTTCCTATTCATTATAACTCAAGTAAAGAGATTTTTATTCATTTAATGATGGTATTGTGGTGTCTTCAACGTAGGTTCTTTGTGCATCTGGCACTGATGATGAATTCTTTAAATATAGATGCCCTGGTAATTTTCCAACTAAGTTACTTGTTTGTGTGATCCATATTTCTATGAACCATACTTATACTTATATGATCATTCTTTGCATTTCCCATGTTGCCCCCAATCAGTTGTCATAACTATACCAATACCTTACCGTTGTGTCCTCTAAGTTTTTTTCTTCTTTTTTTGCAGAAGGAAGGGAGATATACTTCCAACAATATGGAGAGTATAATATCCATAAGATTTGGCGGGATGACGCATTACCATGCCGTGTTTATCTTCGACACTGGTAGGTAGTCTTTTACATGATAAACGATTTCAATGCATAAGCTTATGAGATCTGCCGTAATCTGAACAAGTATTTTGTAAAATTAACTTATGGTAATGAATTATTGCAGTGTCCTAGCCGCACAAAGCCTCGGCGATGAAGCTTACAATAACTTCTTGGACCACACCTTCATTGCTGATCGAGAAACAACAATACGCCAGTACTTTGAGAAAATGGGCACAAGCATCATGGAAGAAGAGCCTCCCGAATCATTAAAAACACGTTACGGCGGTTGATCAGATCCAATAGTCTACATACTTCACGCCAAGGCTCTAGTTTATTGGCCTTTCCATTTCTTAATTTGATTATCCTCGTCTACTTTTGATATTTGAAATCTAGATAACTGCATTATTTTCAAGGATCACATTAGAAACATGTCCAATTTCGATGTGTATGGATCATATGCGGTCATTGCATATGCAGCAGCCTAGCATGTAAAGAAAACTATGTTTAGATTCAAAAATCGAGAACTCTTATTGTTGGTTGTATTACATGATGAAAATAATACTGTTTAGTTTATTACTAAACAGTTAGTTTTAGTTTGTTATAGTTTGTTACAATTCTGTTTAGTTTGTTACTAAACAGTTTGTTACTTTAAGAGTATATATAATGCTGTTTTGTACATTCCAAATCATAATGAAAATAATGAGTTTATTCCAAATCATGTCAATATTATTTCTGTCACCACTCTTTTTGACTCCACTTTATATGATGTGAAATTTTCTCCTAATTGCTGTCAAATTATGTAGTTGCCCCAATCCAAGATGACTGAATTTAAAGCTAGGAGGATTGGCAAATTGTATGTTCTTGATGCCACCCCACCTAAGACCATCTCTCCCACATCTGGATCTGTCAACACCTCCTCTTCTCCCCAATTCGATCCTGCTACTATTTGGCATCTTAGGCTTGGACACTTAAGTCCCTACATACACAAATGTATTTCCTCTCAATTTCCTTTTGTCACCTACAATGACAATCATAAGCCATGTAACACTTGCCATTTGGCTAAGCAAAAACATTTGCCCTTTACTCACAGTAATACTAAGTCTGTTGCCATCTTCGATTTACTTCATGTTGATATTTGGGGCCCTCTTTCCACACCTTCGATATGTGGCCACAAGTATTTTTTAACCCTCGTAGACGATTACAGCAGGTTTACTTGGACAATTTTTATGGCCAACAAAAGTGAAACCAAAAACCATTTAATTCACTTCATATCCTTTATCGAAACCCAATTTAACACGAAACTCAAGTGCATTCGAAGTGATAATGGTCTTGAGTTTCTCATGACCACTTTCTACCTTTCTAAAGGAATCATTCATCAAAGGTCTTGTGTGGAAACGCCTCAACAGAATGGTATCGTGGAAAGAAAACATCAACACATTTTGAATGTTGCCCGTGCCCTCTCTTTCCACTCTCACCCCCCTCACAACCTTTGGCACCTTTCCATACAACATGCCATTCATATTATAAACCGTCTTCCCACTCCTCTTTTAAACAACCACTCTCCATACCAAAAACTCCATTCTATTCCTCCCAACCTTAGCCATATGAGAGTCTTTGGTTGTCTTGCCTATTCTTCGACCTTGCTTAACCATTGCACTAAATTCGAACCAAGAGCGAGGAAATCTATTTTTCTTGGCTACAGGGAAGGCACAAAAGGCTACCTTCTCTATGATCCTATCACACATGAATTTTACATTTCAAGGAATGTATTCTTTTATGAAACTGTGTTCCCTTTTGTATCCATCCCACCTGCACCTAATCTTATAATTCCTACTCCTTACCCTCCTTCGATTGATTCACCTGATATTTTCACCAACATTCCACCCAACTTACCTCCACCATCAAATGAACCTTCCTCTCCTACCTCTCTCCCCCAGCCAGAATCTCCCACTAACCTCTCTTCTTCCTCGAATGACACTAACAACTCCCCTTGCCCCTCCCCTCCTGTGCCAACCAGAAAATCCAATCGAAATAGTAAACCTCCAGCTTATCTATCCGATTATCACTACAATTTGCTATCCCCCATGCTGCCAGCATCTGACTCAGGTTCCTCTAACTACCCTCTCTCTTCTGTATTATCTTATAGCCAATGTAGTCCTGATCACAAATTATTTTGTCTATCCATAAGTTCTTTCACAGAACCAAAAACCTATAAACAAGCCTGCAAATTTGATTGTTGGAACAATGCTATGAAATCTGAGTTAGATGCTCTTGAATCTACAAATACTTGGTATGTTGTTGATTTTCCTGCAGGCAAACAATCGATTGGTTGCAAATGGGTCTACAAAATCAAGCATCATGCTGATGGATCCATCGAACGATACAAGACACGTTTAGTAGCGAAAGGATATACTCAGCTGGAGGGGGTGGATTATTTCGACGCTTTCTCACCTGTTGCGAAGCTTACTTCTATTTGAACCCTTCTCTCAGTGGCTGCCATTAAGAATTGGCACTTGGAACAACTTGACGTCAACAATGCCTTCCTTCATGGTGATCTACATGAGGAAGTGTATATGGATCTTCCTCCTGGATTCATGCTTCCTGCTTCTTCGACCAACAAAGTCTGCAATTCTTCGACCAACAAAATTTGCACTTCGAGCAACGAAGTCTGCACTTCTTCGACCAACAAAGTTTGCACTCCTTCGACCAACAAAGCTTGCACTCCTTCGACCAATGAAGTTTGCACTTCTTCGACCAACGAAGTTTGCACTCCTTCGACCAACGAAGTTTGCACTCCTTCGACCAACGAAGTTTACACCTCTTCGACCAACAAAGTTTGCAAATTGCATAAGTCACTATATGGCCTGAAGCAGGCTAGAAGACAGTGGTTTTAGAAATTGTCCACTGCCCTTATCTCTCTTGGCTACCCATATTCTTCTGCTCATCATTCTTTTTTCACAAAATCACATGACTCTTCTTTTACTGTTTTATTAGTCTATGTTGATGATATTGTCTTAGCCGGTAATAATTTGCAGGAAATCAAATATGTCAAATGCTTCCTTGATTCCACTTTCAAAATCAAGGACCTTGGTAGGCTAAAATATTTTCTTGGTCTAGAAGTTGCCAGATCCACTCACGGCATTTTTCTCAATCAGAGAAAGTACGCTTTGGAATTGCTCGAAGACAATGGCTTATTGGCTACTAAACCTTGCTCTACTCCCTTCGATTCCTCCTTGAAGCTTCATGATGATAACTCACCACCTTTCGAAGACGTCACAGCTTATCGAAGGCTTGTTGGAAAACTTCTATATCTGACTACCACCAGACCTGACCTTGCATTCATCGTTCAACAGCTCAGCCAATTCATCTCACATCCTATGCAAGTTCATCATTCTGCAGCAATTCGAGTACTCAAGTATCTCAAAGGTGCTCCTGCCAAGGGTTTGTTCTATTCATCTTCCTCTCCACTCAAACTCTCTGGCTTTGCAGACTCAGATTGGGCAAGTTGCCCTGCTACCCGCAGATCCGTAACTGGATATTGTGTGTTCCTTGGCAATTCCCTCATATCCTGGAAATCCAAAAAGCAGTCTACAGTATCCAAATCCAGTTCAGAAGCAGAATACAGGGCCTTGTCAAGCTTGACTTGTGAATTGCAATGGCTGCAGTATTTGTTCAAGGATCTCCACATCTCCTTCGATCAACCTAGCTCAGTCTATTGTGACAACAAAAGTGCTATTTACCTTGCTCACAACCCCACCTTTCATGAACGGACAAAACATATCGAAATTGACTGCCACGTCATTCGTGAGAAAATCCAAACTGGTCTCATCCATCTTTTACCAGTTTCTTCTGCTGCTCAACTGGCAGATGTTCTCACCAAGCCTTTGGCAGCTCCCTCTTTCGATTCTCTTGTTTCCAAGCTTGGTCTATTAGACATCCATAGTCCAGCTTGTGGGGGGCTATTACATGATGAAAATAATATTGTTTAGTTTATTACTAAACAGTTAGTTTTAGTTTGTTATAGTTTGTTACAATTCTGTTTAGTTTGTTACTAAACAGTTTGTTACTTTAACAATATATATAATGTTGTTTTGTACATTCTAAATCATAATGAAAACAATGAGTTTATTCCAAAACTAACAGGTTATAATAATACAATATTGATGTTTTGGTAAGTAAGTAAAAAATATCTCACCCTTTGGTAAGTCCTTGGCCATGTAGGAGTCTCGACCAAGCGGTCGTAATGCTTGGCAACAAAAAGTAAAGAGAACCATGAGAAAGTGAGCAAAAGCTTTAGGAAAAGTGTTAAGAATGCGTTATCAATCAATTAGTATTGATTGATATTCAATTAGTAATTAGTGTAATTGATATTGTTTCCTATTGTATATTTCCTATTTGCATATAAATATACATCATGTGTGATCATATTCGACACACAGAGATACAATTACAACATGGTATCTATAGCTGGTTAACCTACCCTCTTTCATAAATAAAAAATTCCTTTTTTTCCCGGTCATCCACTGCTGCCACCGTCTCCGCCGCTCCTGTAGACATTTCGACGAGATTTATATACCGTCGAAATCGTCTCTTTCAGATCGGCCAAATTCCGAAAATGTCACTGCCTTCCGCCGCCGCATGCGCCTCTTCTTCATTTGCGCGTGAATTTCACGCGCCAGACTTTCAGTCGGGCGTGCGCTGCCCCCCGGGCCGCCATTTTTCTTGCCTATCTCGATTTTCGCTCCTCTTTCCAAATATTCTCTCGATTTTCGTTCCGAGCCATCAAATATCATGGGAGATACCGATTCCGTCACGTTCACTAAAGTTCCACTTATTTCGTGTGAGAAACTGACCGGAAACAGCCAAATACAACATATGGGCTAGTGCTGTCAAGATGTGGTTTCACGGTCAGGGATATGAGAATCACTTAACTACAAAAGTCGATATTATTCTCGCCGCCAAATGCGATAAGTGGAAACAAACTGATGCTTCTCTATGCACTGTGTTATGATTTTCTATAGCAAATAATCTTCAAGCAGAGTACTAAGCCTATACCACTTGCTACGAGGTTTGAGAAAAGGCTAAGAAAGTCTTCTCAAATGATGCCCATAATCTTTACAGTGTCATCACCAAACTCTGCTCTTTGAAATTGGAGAATATGGATATGCAAGGCTATCTGGCTAAGCTTGATGCGTTAAAGGCAAATTTCACAATCTTAATTCCCTTTACAAAATATGCAACAACTTATGCTGAACAACAAAGTAAGTATTTCATGGTCACGACACTTGCT